CAAATATCCACACGACTCTTCGCCACCACCCACACCCAGCTTCCCGCCCTATGACGTTCGGACACTTCACTTCGTGGCCTGCGGACGACCGTGGCTACTACACTGGCGTGGAGTACACACCCACAGAAGTTGTTAAGCCTACGTTCGTACACCCACAGAAGTTGTTAAGCCTTGTTAACCCACAGAAGTTGTTAACCCACGGTGCGATTCGTGTGATTTTATGATGCGCGGTGCTAAAATTCTTAAGAACCCAATGGTTTTTGGAGATTTCGGCGTGCGCGCGCGAAGAAAAAACGAATGTGTCCCGCATGGTATTATTTGACAGGGATGATGGCCCTGGCAGGTGCGCAACCGTTGTCGCAGAAGTTCGAAAAAGTTGCTCGCAAAAGCCCGTTTGACAGAAATGTTTACGAAAAGTGTTTTGACATTTTTTTGTTGAAATCCGCAAGAGCGCGCGGGATGAGATTTTGACATTTTTTTGTTGAAAAACCATTGGTTTTTTGATGTTTTTATGTTAAAATCGCTCCGAACACTAAGCTTTTGGAAGGATTTCGTCTTGCGCGCGCGAATGTCCACTTTACCTTATTTTTTGCAAGGGATTCTTGAAATTTGATTATATTAGAACAAGAAATGTCATTTTATAGTGTTTTTTGCAAGGGAAAACGGATTACAACAAAACAACCGGATCTTGATCACATCGAATTACCTGAGGCTTCCTCACGAAAATGATGAAAATGTAGCTGCGGCCTAGGCGCGGCGGGGGGGCCGCGCACCAGGGGGCCCAACAATAATTATTCTTTAGAATTAATAATGTTCAACAACAACTACTACTACTACTACTACTACTACTACTACTACTACTACTACTACTACTACTACTACTACTACTACTACTACTACTACTACTACTACACTACTACTACTACTACTACTACTACTACTACTACTACTACTACTACTACTACTACTACTACTACTACTACTACTACTACTACTACTACTACTACTACTACTACTACTACTACTACTACTACTACTACTACTACTTACTACTTCTACTACTACGATTACTTTTACTACTCTTACTACTACTACTACTACTACTACTACTACTACTACGACTACGGTTACTATTGAAACGACGACTACGACTACTACGACTACTACTACTACTACTACGATTACTGTTACTACGACGACGACGACCATTATGATTACCACTACCCCTATGAACCTATCTTATTTTTGGTATTACGACGACTACTATAAGTTCTAATATCATTATTCTTTCCACGACTACCACTACCACTACCACTACTACTACTACTACTACTACTACTACTACTACTACTACTGCTACTACTGCTACTACCACTACTACGACTACTACTACTACGACTACTACTACTACTACTACTACTACTACCACTACCACTACCACTACCACTACCACTACCACTACCACTACCACTGCCACTACTACTCCTGGTACGACTACGACTAATACGATCACGACTACTACTACTACTACTACTACTACTACTACTACTACTATTACCACTATTTTCATCATTACTACGATTTCTATTGTTATTACGACTAGCACTACTAGTACTACTAGTACCACTACTACTCGTACTACTACCACCCCCGATTTGTATTATCCCGGGCGTTTGTTATCACCAGAAACCGGCCGCCATCATTTTTACACGTGTGATGTAAAAAGCGGCTGGAACACAATAGATTCCCACGTCCTAAATGGGTTCTTTGTTCGTGTTGGACACCCCGCGCAGTCCTCACACACACACACACACACACCGTGTCCTCTTCACACGTTTACGCTCACCATCGTCATCAGCATCTTCATCCTTAGTCAGTTCTTCACTCACTCACTCACTAACCCACTCATCATCATGGCCATCATCATCATCGACATCACTCCCACACTCATTCACGTTCACACACAAACACATTCAAACAGTCGCACACTCACGCGTTCATTTTGAGAAAGTTTGAGGCGGGAGCTTCGCCTGTTGCTGAATTGCAAGGAAGTCTCAGGCGGGAGCCCCCTACCTGTGGGGCCCGCACCTCGTGTTGGCAATCGGAACGGGTCATCCAAACCTTTTAAGTTTCGTCATTCCTGAAGAAGCCTCAGGCGGGAGCCTTGTTTGTGAGTGAATTGCAAGGAAGTCTCAGGCGAGAGCCCCATCCATACGAAACCCCCATTTCATGTCTGTAATCGGAACGGGCTATCCCAACAACCCTGAAAACTGTCATTACTTTTGGGCCCCTCACGCTTCAGTTTGAAGAAGCCTCAGGCGGGAGCCTCGTCTGTGAGTGACTTGCAAGGAAGTCTCAGACGGGAGCCCCCTCCCTATGGGGCCCGCACGTCACGTTGGCAATCGGAGCCGGTCATCCAAACCTTCTAATTGTTGTCATTGTCGGGCCCTTCGCGCCTGAATCTGAAGAGGACTCAGGCGGGAACCCCGTTTGTGAGTGAATTGCGAGGAACTTTCAGGCGGTAGCCCTCTCCCTACGAGCCCCCCGTTTCATGTTGGCAAGTGGAGCGAGTCATCCCAAACCTATACATGTCGTTATTTTTGGGCCCGTGGCGCCTGAATTCCGAAACAAAAACTGAAGCGGGAGCCTCGTTTGTGAGTGGCCGGGAAATCTCAAGCGGGAGCCTCTTCCCCATGGGGCCCTTCGTTCACGTTGGCAATCGGGGCGGGCCATCCAAATCTTGTAGGTGTCATTACTTTGGGGCCCTTTACGCTTCAAATTATGATGATTCAGACGGGAGCCTTATGTGTAAGTGAATTGCGAGGAGGTCTCAGGCGGGAGCCCGCTTTCTATGGGGCCCACTCCGCATTTTGGTACTCCGAGCGGGTCATGCGAAACCAAGAGCTGTCGCCATTCTAGGGTTCCCCAGCCAGGCTTGAATCTTGAGGAAGTCTCAGGCGGGAGCCTCGTCTGTGAGTGAGTCGCGACGGAGTCTCGAGCGGGAGACCCCTCGCCATATGGCCCGCAGCTCCATGTTAGAATCCGAGAGAGTCCTCGGGATCTCGTAGCTGCCGTCACTGTCGGCCTCAGGAACGATCCCTTCGTGAGCCAATCCGAGCGGGGTCACCCTTGTGCTCTTAAGAGGGCCATTCGCTCGGCTGAACCCAGTCCCCCGGCGCAGCGATGGCGTCACCATCAACTGCGCCAGGGATGCGGACGCTGGTCGCACGGGCATGTCGGACGAGCAGTGGTGGCTGCACCTCTGCGTCATGTTCTCCCGCGCCACGCGCATGCGGAGCATGCTGATCCTGCCGCCGCCCACGCGGGAGTTCCTGGAGCGCGGGCCACCGGCGTCCCTGCGGAAGGCGCTCCGGAAGTCCGACGAGCTAGTGGAAAACTCCAGAACCGACTCGGAACAGCTCGCAGCACGTCTAGGTTTCGCGCAGCCCCGCGCCTGAGTGCGACCGCGCCCACTTCGGGGCCCCTGGGGTTGCCCCAGCGGCCCAGCCCGCGGGGTGGTCCCGACGGCCCGCCCCAGCGGCCCGAGGGGTTGCCCCAAAGCGTGGCCCGCGAGATGGCCCCAAAGGCTTCGCGATCTAGCCGTCGGCGAACGCGCGCGTTGGCCGACGCGGCGACGGCGCCGAGGACAATCGATTTGCTTGCCCCGACCAGGGGGGAGAGGGGCGCACGTGGAGAAGAGGCAGGGGGAGGATGAGGAGAGGGAGTGGGGCAGGTGGGGGGCGATAGTGAGGGGGAGGCGGAGAAGGAGGAGAAGGATGAGAGCGCAATGGAGGAGGAGGATCGATACAACCAGGGAGGAGAAGAGGGCAGACCAGAGGGCGAGAGGAAGGGCGAAGGGCAAGCTAGACAGATTCCCGCGCGAGGTCCTACCGCCCGAGTAAGTTTGCACACTAAAAACGCAACGTCCCGAATCGAGTCCTGGGGCCTCTCTCTTTTCCCACCCTTCCTCCCTGTCTCCCCTTGGCTCCTCGTCCCCTCCCCTCCTTGTGATGTAATCTGTGTTATGTGAGATTCTGTCCAGGGCAGATTTCCGAAAGCACGAACATGGTCGCCGCCGTCATACATCCCATGTGCGATTTTCTTTGACAGTTCGTTGATTATCCCCCATGGACCCCGAACTTTTTGATCCCCCAGGTGTTTCTCTCACGGGCGGCTGGTGAACAAGCGTCCGGGGGGGCGGGAGGCGACGCCCCGCCGTGGACATAGGCGTGGCGCAGTGTTGACAGGCATCGGCGGGCTTCCAGACGCTTCCAGGGGCCTTTGGACCGGAGACCTCCCGAGGCTTCCAGAGACATTCAGAGACCCTGGGAGACCTTCACGGGCAGCCGTCGTCGCCGTCACTGTCGTCGTCGTCGTCGACGTCGTCGTCGTCCCCTTCGTCCAGAAATTCGAGTTCGTCGACCTCGTCAGCAGCGTCGTCCTCGTATTCGTCCTTGTCCTCGTTGCCCTCCTCGTCCCCATCGTCGTCGGCGTCAGCGTTGTCGGCGTCGTTGTCGTCGTCGTCATCGTCGTCGTCGTCGGCGGCGTCGTCGTCGTTTCCGAAGGCTTCGGAGGGCCCCCAGATGCCTCCGGAGGCCTCTGGAGACCTAAGGCCTCCGGAGACCTCTGAAGACCTTCAAAAGTAGCCGTCGTCTTGGTCGTCATCGCCCTCCTCCTCCTCCTCCTCCTCGCCCTCGTCGCCGGCGCCCGCCGTCGTCCGGCGCCCCCGGCCCCCCCAGCGGGGCCCGACCACTTAACCGTTGCCGCCGCACGGGGGACCCCCCCCCCGTCCGGTAACGGACGCTGCTGGGGAGGAAAGAAAGAACAATCTCGAGGGACTCGAGGGCACGCCAATTCGTGCCTCGCAGCACGGTGGCGGATTCAGCGCTCCTTTTGGGAGCACGATGACCACGCGGATTTTTGCGCGCACCTCGCATCGCGGCTCGAGCACAGGTTACGCGAATCGTACTTCACTCCACCGTCCACATGCCCGTCTCGGCATGCCGGCCACCGAGCAGACGCCCCTGGTCTCGGGGAAGCGCCGCTCCACCGGCAGTGGCTGGCAGCCCGCGTCGGAGGTGGTTCGTGCAAATCCGGCGGCGCGCAAAAACAGGGCCAGGACGGGGGGGGGCGGCCTTCGTGGTGATGCAGGATGCTTTTAAGAGGGGCTCGTGACCCTGAAAACCACTTAATTACGCCCCGCACATTCCTTGTGCGTGCGCTGCTCGGCAAAATCAGCCCGGGCGGTGCCGACGGATCCTGGACCTGGGGCTTTCTGGCCACCGCAGTGCGATCCGTGGCGAGGTGTCCACCGAGGCGGTCCGGGGAGCATCGGGTCGGGCGAAAGGGGGGGATTGGGAAAGGGGGGGTTACGAAATTTGCTGCATGCAGCTGGTTTCGGCCTCACCGAGTTGCCCATTCCTCGATGCATCGCCGCCTCCGGCGCCGGGAGGCGCCGGGAAAATCAGCTACGTGAGCTGATTCTCAATCCTGCCCTTTGCTATCCCCCCCTTTCGCCCGACCCGACCATCCCAGGACCCACTGGGTGGCCCCAGGACACCCCAGGACACGCCGCATTCCATCCGAGGCGTGCCTGGAGGGGCCTCGCCTTCGAGGGCCGAGGGGGTTGCCACACCTCTTGCTTCGGCGGCAGGCGGCGGAAGTAGAACGGGGGCGGCTCCGCCAGCGGAAGCCGTCAGAGGCTCGTCAGGAGGGAAAAAACACACAGACACAATTAATCGTCGATTCCCTAGAAAATATGGGAAAATATGGGAAGTGGGGGGGAAGACAAAAACCCAGAAGATATAGGAAAATATGGGTGATATTTTTATTTGTGTGTATTTATTTGTGTGTCCTGGGGCCCCTTCAGCTCGGCGGAAGCCGACGGAAGCAAAATATGTGTTCCCAAGAGATGGCGATGTGTTTTGCTTCAGGGTTTTCGGACCCCCCCTATGTCCGTATTGCCGCAGGTGGCACGCGGCATGGCGCAGAAGAAATTGCGCGCGAGGCACGACCGCGGGAGCATGAGCTATCGCAAGTACTGCTATTCCATGATGCGCTCGCATTCTCACTCTTTGAGGGCGCGCGTCTTCCGTTCCATCATCACTGCACTGATCATCGTCAGCGTCATAACATTCGTGATGGATTCGGACAAGCACATCCACCAGCGATACGTCGGGGCATTCAATGTGATTGAAGGTGTGACCTCATGTGTGTTCATGGCCGAGTATTGTCTGCGCGTTTGGACCATACCAGAGAGCTGCAGATACCATGGGACCGATCCCCATGTTGCACGCATGCAGCTCATGTTCTCTGCAGGCTCGGCAATCGATTTGCTCGCAATTTTGCCATGGTTCATTGAGAGATTTGCGCTGTGCGTCTGTGTCATTGGCGGACGCGGCTGTGATCTTCAGCTCCCGAACTTTTCTTTCCTGCGGATAGTTCGTTTGTTCCGCTTGCTGAAAGCGCAGCCAATTGTCAGTGCGTTTGATGTGGTTGCGCGGGTGGTATATTACAACGCGGAAATATTATTGGTGGCGTTTTTGATTTGTCTGGTCATGATTCTTGTTCACGAGGCTCGCGTCACATCCGGCAACCCTTCGATTTCAGCATATCGTGGCACGTGCTCCAGTTCAGCCGTCGGTCCATCCCGCCACCGCGCCTGGGACGTTGACTAGAGACCCTTGAAGTCTCTTGGATGGCCTCTCCTCTTGAGGGTCTCATCAGAGCCTCTTTCGGGCCTCATGGGAGAACTCTTCGATTGTCTTGAACGTTCTGAAGATAGAAAACTAATTTTTGAACAGCCTGTTTGATTCACCCCTAGGGCGAAAGTTCTTCCCCTTGTCAAGGGAGAAAATGCCACCCGGACCAGACAATTGGCGTTTACTAAACGGCCTTTGGCGTTTACTAAACAGCCTTGCCCTGATCGATTCCTTCTGTGGGTGCGTTTGCTAAACGGCTTCGCATGTCGGGGTGGATATGTTCAGGGTGGATTTCTGCACTCTATCTTGAGCCAAGAACGACGGTTTGAAGTCCTGAGCAGACGCGTATGAGATAACTGCCGTCGGATCCCATGAAGTTCGCGTGGATCAAATTGAGGTTTTGATTTTTGTTTCGGTGGATCCGATTCCCGTCGTCCGCGCGGACCCGATTTCGGATTTTCTGGATCCGCGACCGGCTTTATATATATAACGGCGGATCCGATTTCTACCCTATTCTATCTTTGTGTGATTATACTAAAACGGAGACCGGGCAAAATCGGAACCGCGGGTCCCGGAACCCGCCCGTGTTAGGATTCTACGGGGGAAGGGGGTTCGGTCATCAACGTCCCAGGATGGGTCTTGTGCTGTCTTGTGCTTAAATTTACGCGCGCGAGGACCCCACTCAACATGAGTGCATATCCCTCCTTTTGAACGAGCTGCACGCAGCTCGTCCAGACGCCGTCCGTTCGGCCGCGCCGATGTTCTCTCTCGAACTCATCATCGCCATTTTCACCTCAAGAGGAGCATCTCTCGTCCTGCGTAAGTGCGTTTCGGCCCTGCGCCTCCTGACCCAGCGGAGTGCCTGTGGGATGTGGTGCGACGGCCATGTGGTAACCAACAAGTCCGAAGGCCGAAACGCCCATCCCATGGACGACAGTTTTTGTTCCCCTTAGGCCCGGGACGACGGTTCGAAGTCTTGAGCAGACGCGCGTGAGATAACCGCCGTCGGGTCTCATGAAGTTCGCGCGGATCCGAAGTGTGGTTTTGGTGCGATTTCTACCCCGCTCTATTTTTCTATAATTAAACTAACACGGAAACCGGGCGAACTCTGATCCGCGGGCCCCAAAACCCGCTCGTGCTAAGATTCTACGGGGGAAGGTGGTTCGGTCATCAAAGTCCCAGAATGGGTCCTGTGCTGTGTCGTGCGCTCCCATCAACTTTACGCGCGCGGGGCGCCACTCAACATGAATGCGTCTCTCTCCTCCCGGATGAGCTGCACGCAGCTCGTTCAGACGCCGTCCGTTCGGCGGCGCCGCTGCTCTCTGTCAAACTCATCATCGCCATTTGCACCTCAAGGGGAGCATCTCTCGTCCTGCGTAAGTGCGTTTCGGCCCTGCGTCTCCTGACCCAGCGGAGTGCCTGTGAGCTGTGGTGTGGCAAGTCCGAAGGCCAAAACGCCCAGTGCGTTTCGGCCCTGCGTCTCTTGACCCAACGGAGTGCCTGTGAGATGTGGTGCGTCTGGCTACGTGGTAGCCTACAAGTCCGAAGGCGAAAACGCCCACTGCGTTTGTGACCTGCGTCTCTTGACCCAACGGGCTGCCTGTGAGATGTGGTGCGTCGGCGATGTGGTAACCAACAACAAGTCCGAAGGCCAGAACGCCCATCTCCGAGATGAAAGTTGTTCCTCTTGGGCCCGGAACGACGGCTTGAAGTCAATGAGCAGACGCGCATGAGATATTCGCCGTCGGATCCCATGAAGTTCGCGCGGATCCAATGGTGGATCCGATTCCCGTTCTTGCGGATCCGATTTCGAATTTTCTGGATCCGCGTCCGGCCTTGTTCATAACGGCTGATCCGATTTCTACTCCGTTCTTACCCAATCAGTGTTTGCATTGAAGGGGTTCTAGCGGAGATTGCAGCGTGAGTACCCGATCGATTCCGGTAGGCGGCCGGGTTCTTGGGTTCCCAGTTCCGGGTTCCCGGGTTCTTGGTTGCCGGTTCCGGACCGATTTCGGTGGGCGGCGGGGTTCCCGGGTTTCCGGGTTCCCGGTTTTTTGGTCGATCCCTCAATCGATCGGATTCACCATCGATCTCATGACCCACCTCTTTATTGATCTCACAATCGATCCCACTACAGATCGCACGAGCGATCTCACGATCGATTTCACAATCGATCTCATTGAATCGACTTCACGATTGGTGTCACGATCGATTGTTCGTTCGTTTTTACTATCGATCCCACGCCGGATCTCACTATCGATCTCACATTATATGTCAATATCCATATCACGAATTTTCAAACCATACATTGGATGGAGTGTTTCTCTGGTGTCATCTGATGATATTATCAAACTAGGCGGGGAACTGGACAAAATCGGATCCGCGGGCCCCGGAACCCGCCTGTGTTAGGATTCTACGGGGGAAGGGGGTTCGGTCATCAACGTCCCAAAATGGGTCCTGTGTTGAGTCGTGCGCTCCCACGCCCTTTACGCGCGCGGGGGCCCCATTCAACATGAATGCAGATCTCTCCTCCTGGACGAGACGCACGCAGCTCGTCCCAGACGCCGTCCGTTCGGCGGTGCCGATGTTATTTGTCGAGCTCACCATCGCCATTTGCACATCAAGAGGAAAATCTTGCGTCCTGCGTACGCATGTTGTTCACTGAGTTGGTCCTTTTGGTCCAGCCCGTGGATCCTCCAAGACGGCCTCAAATGATCCCAAAGGCCCCAGGACGACCCGATGAAACCATCGTCGGGCATGTGAAAAGTTTGGACGCTGACCCGCTGGCGGCGCCACCGTCGCCGCCCCTGGCCTGGCGCGCTCCGCTCGTTGGGGGAGTGGGGCCCTGCGCCGATCCAAGAAATCGGCGCGGACTTTCGAAAGTTGATTCGTATAAGTCAGTTGGTCTTGTTAGTGTTCTGACATTGGATGTTTATGTAGTTACACAGAGGTGAACTTCACTCGATATTTGTGGGCTTCGCGCTGGCGCAGCTCCCCTTGCCGCCGCCAGCCCCCCAGCCCCGCGCCGCTGCCTTGCCTGGCCGGCGCCCTGGTCCTCCGGCCGCGGGCCACCCCCGCTCTTCGCCTCGCCAGGCCTCGCCCGCATCGTGGCTGCCGGCTCCCCTCCCTCTGGGGAACGCTGCGACGCCGACCCGCAGCCGATGCCGGGGTTGTCCCCTCAGCCAGGCCCGCCCCCGCGCACCCGCTGCAGCCTCGCCGCGTGGGCGCGCCCCCACACCCGTTGCCCCCCCCCCCCTCTGCGGCCGCCTCCTCGCCTTCCCCCCCCCCCTCCTCGTGCACGCAGGCTGCTTCGCGACACCGCGCCCCAGTCTCGCACGGACGCGCGCGCGGATTGCCTCCGACGCGCTGCGACGTAAAAAGCCTCTTGCGGCTTAGGGGGGCAACAGAAACAGGTGTTGACGCCCTCTCCTTCGCGTGTGTTGGGAGAGCAAACAGAGGATTCGGCCCACGGGGAAGTAAGGACAACCCAATCGCCCATGCGTCGCCGATCTGGGTGTGATTTCGCCACCAGGGGTCTGTGGACAATCCATCGGCGATGTATCGCCGATTCTGGAGCAAATACTCCTACCATTAGAGGCGGTACCCCTTTTTGCTCTTCCTCGCTCCCGCCAACGCAAGCCGATTTGGTGCTGGCATGCCTGCAAAGTGAAAGGCATCTTCACAGCTTCCTGCTTAGACTTAATGTTGCATCCAGGACCTCCCTTGGATATAGTGGTGTTTCTCTTGGGCCGCTAGTGCACTTTGACGTCATTCGGACCTCGCTCGGACTGCATTGGACAGTTCATTGAGCCATCCTGGTGGTCTCACGTGGCCATCTTCCGCCGTCTTGGCGGCACTGGCGCCATCTTTGTGGAATTGCCCCACCCCATTTTCCAAGTCCACTCCCGACCACCCCGCGACGGGATCGGGGCAAACATCTTTCGAGGACGCCAGAGGCCCCAGCGGGTCGGCGGATCACGTCGACGCTCCTGTTCTACCTGGCCCCCCCCGGAGACGAGCATGACGACTTCTCGTCGATCCCTGCAACGATGTACCTCTCGGTGATGATGCTCACCGGGCAGGGGCAGCCCGAGGGCGCGCTCCCGTGGTACACGAAGCTCATCGTCATTTGCACCTCGATTTTCTCCGTCGCCCAGTTCGCCATCCCGGCCTCCATGCTCACGTGGGGGTTCGAGCAGGAGTCGAAGAAGAAACAACGACATACACACTCAACCATTCGAAGGTCCACGCGTGGATTTCTCGGATCTGCCTTGGGCCTCTCTGGCGGCGCCTTCCCGCGAGCTCCGCGCGCCAGGGGGAGAGGCTCTGGCGCCGAGCCGAAAACCCGCGCGGGCCGCAGAACAATGTGTGGCCGATGCCGGTGTCTCGAGGGGGGGAACAAAAAACCGCGTAAACATAAACCGTGGGCGCTCCGCACGAATTTTTTGGATCCGCGCTGGGGTCCCCCCGCGGCGCCTCTGGCGCCACTCCTGGCGCGTTCCGCGCGCCAGGGAGGGTATCCAACGCAAATCCAAGAAACCCGCGCAAACCGTCGAAATTATATTTATGCAGTTTTTTCTTCTTGTCGTGTCTCGTCTTGTGTCGGCGGCGAGCAAGAGGTGAAGCGGGAGGGGGCAGTGCCTCCTCAGAAGGCGGCGGGATTTCTCAGAAGCCCTCTAGCCTTCTGCCAACCTGTTTTTGCGTCTTCGGGGAAGGCCTAGGGGCCTCCTCGGAAGGCCCGCCCTGTCTCATTTCCCCCCGGGCTCGCCGCGCGATCGTTGTCTTATTCATTGTTTTGCCGATCAGCGCGGGCCTTCGCCCCCCCCCCCCACCCCCCCCGTATGTCAAGGGAGGAAAAACCACCCGGACCGGACAATCGGCGTTTACTAAACGGCCCTGGGCGTTTACTAAACAGCCCTGCCCTGTTTGATTCCTTCTTTGGGTGCGTTTGCTAAACGGCTTCGCGTGTCTGGGTGGTTACTGTCGGGGTGGGTCTTCTGCCCGCTAGTATGGAGTAGATTGTGGTTGCTTTGGGCGCCTGTTCGGAGCAGGCGGAGTCTCCCCCACAGGACGCAGTGTTACAAACAGTCGTATCAAGCAGCGGTCCAGAGCCAGACCCCTCCCCCCCCTCCCCAGGAGGAGGAGGAGGAGGAGGAGGAGGAGGAGGAGGAGGAGGAGGAGGAGGAGGAGGAGGAGGAGGAGGAGGGGGGGACGAGGAGGAGGAGGAGGAGGAGGAGGAGGAGGAGGAGGAGGAGGACGAGGAGGCCCAACGCCCCGCCCAGTGTCGAAACGCCGAATAAGAATACGCTCACAATTCTGAGGAGGCGCAGCGCCGGATAAAGAAGAACCTGGAGCTGCAGCGGCAGCAGGAGGACCGCGCCAAGCGGGGCTTGCCGCGTTCCGCGGAGAGCTCCTCCAGCAGCGACCCGAACAGCGACAGCTCCTGGGAGGAGTACGAGAGGATCGCCGCGGCGGCGGAGGACCCAGGGATCAGTGAGCACATGCGAACCCTAAGTACCCCACCACCCCACGATCTCTAAGGGGGGAGGTGGGGTTCACTTCGCTCGGGAGGCCCCGAACGAAGTGAGCCCCTTCAAAATCGTCGGGCGGTGGTGTAGGAGTTGCGTGTGGCCTCCTGAGCCACCCCGACCCTCATAACATGTTTGCGTTTTTTGTCCGAACCGGCCCCCCGTGGTCGTTTCCTTAACAGCCCTGCCCGCTTCGATGCCCTTTTTGGGCGTGCGCTTGCCGAGCGGCTTCGCGCGTCGAGGTGCTGTTCGGGAGGGCGGCTCTCCTGCTCTCCACCGGCGGCGAGCCTGGGGGGGGGGAAGCGAGAAGGGGCGGGCCTTCCCAGGGGGCTCGGAAGTCCCCCAGCCTTTGAGAAGTGGTCCAAGCCTTCAGCAGGCTGGAGGGCTTCTGAGAAGCCCCGCCGCCTTCTGGGAAGGCTTCCCCCTCCTCACTCCCCCCCCTTGCTCGCCGCCGACTCTCGAGGAGAGCGGCGCGGAGTGCGACGAGGAAGCGAGTGAGAGGGGCACGCGAGCGCCTGCGCGAGCGGGCGGCGCGGGCGCGGGCGGCCCCGGGCCCAGGAGGGAGCCTCGGCCGGAGGCCCCAGCGGCAGCGGGGCGCGTGGCTTCGCCCCCTCCGAGGCTGCCCCTGGAGTCCGCCGCCGCGGCGCCGGAGCTCCTGGTTCAGGTTTCGAGGAGGAGCTCGACTACTGTAGGTTCGCGTCGCGTCGACCGGCGGCGACCCCGCCGCCGGCGTAGCTGAGCGCCGCCGGCGACCCAGAATGGCTCGATGTTGGTCGTTCGGACGTTTCGGGAACGGCCGGTCGTTCAGGGTCGAACGATCCAGCGCGGTGTCAGTAACCAACGCCGGAGTCAGCGAGACACGAACCTGCCGTACAGAATCGATTTCGCCCAAGCTTGAAATATCCATCTGGTCAAGAGAGAATCGCGTGGAAGGTTCGTAGATCTACGAACACTCTACGTCTTTCTCGCAGGTTCGACGGACATGAGAATTTGGTGCAAGTCAATTCGTATGTGGTCGATCTCCTGATTACCCGAAGGTTGCCGCGCAACTGACGGAGCTGCAGCGCGAGGTGGCGCGCCTCCGGGAGAGGAACTCCGGGCCTCCCAGCTGGGGTCCGTGCGGATGGGTTCGAAGGATCGCGCCGCATCGCCCGTGCATCGGCGATGCGGCTCGATGCGGAGCTCGTTCCTTCCCTACGGCGACGTCGCCGATGCGTCACCGACGCCGCCGATGCATCGGCGATGCGGCGCAATGCTTCGACCCCATCTGCTCGGACCCCGCTTGGGACGCCTCCAGGAACGGGGTGCTGGAGGCCGAGAACGCGCGCCTGCTGCGCGGCTAGGGCCCGGCTGGGCCGCGGGGGCTCCCGCGAGCGTCGTGCGACGAGTTTTTGGCGCTCTTGAGCGGGCGCTGTTGTAACACGGCTGGCTTTTCTCATGTAGTCCCATGGCATTCCGTGACTCGAGGAGAGAGAAGAAATTGCCTAAACATCAACATTCGGCGGACCGTGCGGATTTCTTGGATCTGCGTTTCCGTCAGAGTATCCTCCATCGTCTTCTCTGTCTCTCTGTCGTCCTTCTCTCCACCTCCCTGGGACCCTTTCGAACCATCTCTAACCTTGAGAAGCTTCTCGAGCTGACTGACCTCCTGACCAGAGCCCTTTGACGCCACCTCTGCGGACCACCCCTGAAACCCTCTATCTGTTCTTTGTATTCCGACGATAACGAGGAAGTCGAAGACGTCGACGACGACGACGACGATGAGAAACAAGAAGAAGAAGAAGCGACGACGACTAGGATAAATAATAATAATTATGAGAGACTTACTGATAAAGAATCCAAGCGACAAGAAAAAGTCGACGACGACGGCGGCGACGGCGACGGCGACCGCGACGGCGACGACGACGATCACGACCACGACCACGACCGCGACAACGACCTCCACCTCCGCAGAGGTCTTCCGAAGTTCCCAGAGGTCCCCAGAGATTCCCACCCGGCCAAGAACGTGCAAGCACTAGGTTTCAAGACGTTGAGATAAGGACCGCTTTGGGTTTGCAAGGGACTCGCTGCTCCATAAGTCACTCCGTGGTTGTTCCTCTAGCCCTCCTCGTGCATCCAGGCCCTTTTGGTGCCACAAAAAAGTGGCTGCATTCCTTACTTAGGGTTCATTCTTTCAGCAGCCCGACAACATCCTCGGGACGATCGACATTGGTACGGAAAGAATGGGTACGAAGTTGGACAGCAGATCCTGCTCCTTTGAAACAGGGCCCGTTGACGGTCTCGCCGCGGGCGTTGCCCATGTGAGACACACGGCCGCCTGCCCAACAGCGGCTGGCGTCGGTTTTGGATGATTTGTGATGCCGAGCATCGTACCAGTTTTTTCCTTTAGCATTCCCGGCGTCCAATTTATCGTTGGTTTTCGAGAGTCTCCAATTCCCAATCTACGATGACGGCGGCGACGGCAACGTCGTCGTCGTCGACGGCGACGACGACTGCGGCAAAGTCGGCGTCGACGACCGACACGATCGAAGACGTCGGCAACGACGGCGACGACGGCGACGACGACGACGACGACGACATCTCCGACGGCGACGGCGTCGGCGACGACGACGACGACGAGGTGCTGACCGGGAAGTACGACCAGGCCTGCGACCTGTGGAGCGCCGGAGGCCAGCCTCTCCTCGGCCGCGCGGGGCGGGCCCCGCCCCCGGGCGGCGCGGCGGCGGGTCGGCCCCCGGCGCCGCCGCGGAGCGCGTCGGAGGAGGATCGGGTGCCCCCAGCCGTGGCTCGTCCTGGAGAGCTCTCGTCGCCACGGCTGGAGGCCCCTCAGATGGGGTCGGAGTACACCTTAGGCGATGCTTAAGAAAACCTAAATTTTCGGCCAGAGTCTCGATTATTCTTAATGTTTCCATGTAAATCCTAAGATTTTGATAGAAATCTTGGGTTTTTGTTCAAGATCTGAGACTATGAATTTCTTAACCCAAGATTTCTTAAGCATTTCGCAGGGTGTAGATGGGGTCGGAGGATCGCGCCGCATCGTCGACGCATCACGGATGCATCGGCGATGCGCCGGCGGCGTCGGCGATGCATCGGCGCCGTTGGCATGGAGAACATTTGGATCTGCAGAGAACCGTCTTGCCGAGGCATCGGCGCTGCGGCGCGATCTTCCGACCCCACCTACTCGGACCCCATCTGGGAGGCCTAGAACGGCTGGGTCGCATCCTCGAAGTTCTGAGGCCGCCAGGGGGGCGGTGCACTCGCCCGCTCGCGGCCAGGCTGCGGGGAGGCGGGGATGTCTCGGGCGGTGGGCCGGTTTCGTGGCGGGGGCTCCTCGGCTTTCGGAGCAGACCGTGAGGATGTCCCGAGCGAGGCGCGTGGTTCAGCACCCCAAGGGGGAGCCGCCAGGGAGTGTTACATTCGCCCTTTCGCGGCCAGATTGTGGGGATGCCTCAGGCGGTTGTCTCGTTTCGCGGCTGGTGCTCCTCCGCTTTCAGGGCAGACGGTCAGAATGTCTCGGCGCCAGACATCCTCGCAACTCTGGGCATGGAGATGACCTAAACTGAGGCGGTTCGGCCAATTTCGCCTGAGACATCCTGGTAACTCTTGGCTCGAATATGCCCTGACCTGATCGACCTTCGCATCTGTCCTCAGGTGCGTTTTGGTTGGAATGTCGAATGGAGTCCAGCCGTGGCTACGAGAAGCCTCCCAGAGGCCCAAATACAATGTATGATTCGACGCGGAGATCCCCATATGTGCATCTCAGTTCCTGGCGCTTCCGTCTGTGAGTGAGTGTCTGAATGAGAGAGTCTTAGCTTGTGGCGACTGGGCGATCCCTGACGCCTCCCCCTTGGAGCGCCCAAATGCTATGCCTGCTACATCGGGATGCTCGTGGGGCTCTGAAAAGAGAGGGCTCAGGGGTGCCTGAACCAGCGTTTCATCTGACTCGCTCGAGACATCCGCACGATCTGATGGGATCTGAAAACAGAGGAGACCCAGCCACGGAACGAGCGCCTTGTTCGAGACAGCCCCAGAGTCTAGCCGCGAGCGGGCCCGCGCAAGTCGCCGAGCCCAGAGTTGCGAGGATGTCTCTGCAAGATTGGCCGGACCACCTCAGGTCAGAGCATTTGTGGGCCCATAATTGCGACGATGTCTCGGGCGAAGCTGGCTGGACCACCTCCCACGCAGCATCTCTCAGGCCAGTGATGGATGGTGAGTGGCGGTGGCGGGAAGGTAGGGAGGGAGAGAGGGAAGAATGCCCAAATGCATTACAGCCAAAGATCGGAGAGATCGGCATCATTGATCCTCCAATGGATTTGCTGAGCCGGGCAATAGTGCGCAGCGCACCGCGTACTGCACTGCGCGTACTGCGTGGGACGAAGCAGTATGTCACCACCCACCAAACCACCCCAACCCAACCCGAAGGCTCATATTTACCCTCGATTTCCAGTGGGGGGGGGGTAGGGAAACATCGAAAAAACACATGTGGAACCCTTACCCCCCCAACCCGAAATTCGGGTCTTCGGGTTGGGTTGGGGTGGTCTGGTAGGTAGTCAGTATGCAGCTCCGACCAAAACCTACCCGAAGTTGCGCGAGAGCGCAGGAGCCGGCTGTGGCAGGGAGAGCCACCGTGCGCGTGGTGGTCGGAGCGCGAGCGCCGAGCAGGAGGGCGCACGCACCGGCGCCCCGGGCACGGGAAGGCGCTTGGAGGACCCGCTCGGCGCAGTAGTCCGGCCAGACTTCGGAGGGCACCAACTATACACCAACACCGATCCTGGCCCAGGATCACCCTGGGCCCAGGATCGGTGTATATGCCTTCTGGCGCAAGGCAGGAGGGCGTATACACCGATCCTGGGCCCAGGGTGGTCCTGGGCCAGGATCGGGGTTGGTGTATAGTTGGTGCCTTCCTAAGACTGGTGCGGTTGCCGAGACTCGGGGGCGGCCAAGAGGGGGGTGATGATCAGAGGGGGGGGGGATATCATGGCGGGGGCCATGGCATCTCCCCAGATTTCGTGGCGCCTGTTCTTATTTCAATGCGTCCCTGCCCCCCCCCCCCCGGGGCCGCGCACATGCCGCCGGCCACGATTTGCGCCCCCCCCCCTCTTGGACGCCCCCCTCTTGGACGTCCCCGACCGAGACATGGTCGCTACCGGCCGGATCTTCGAGGCTCCGCGGAGCCGGCGAGTTTGTAAGCAAGGGTTGCCTTTATCATTGCATTAGCCAGCGCGCCAGTGACCAATATATCCATTCGGCGAGCCCCTAGACCTGGAGATTTGCCAGACTTTCCTGGGCACCCTATGGACTAGAAGTGGGACTCTGGGCCTTGGGCGCCAACTCGAACGTTTTCAAATTAAATGTTTGGGAGTGGCACAAATTCTGAATGGAGAAGCCGTTTTTCAAGCACTGTATGTGGAGCCCGTATACCGCCAGATCTGTCAAACATTGTTGTTGCAAAGCTGCCGCGGCTGGAGCCCAAGCCGCCAGATTGTCATCTGGGCTCCGCGGGATCTCAACGCAGTTCCCGAGTATCTCGCAAACGCCGCAAGGGACTTCGCAACGACAGTGGTAAAAAGGAGGCCAGACGCGTCACGACAACGCCCCGCAACAGTTGTATTTTCAAGATTTGCGCGGATGCGTTGGCCGCGACTGCCGCTCGAGACATCATCGATTATTTGATGCTTGCAATGGTTTTTTCGCCAGAGCGGCCCTCGCATTTCTTACGCTGGAGGCATTGTGTTCGGGTTGGGTGGGAAGGGGGGTGCAAGTTCTTAACGTGCTACTTGCTTGTCTTCTGTAAGAGATAGCATGCTTACTCTAGACGTTTCACGTCATCTCACCAACCCATCCAGAAGCGATGCCGAGGCGAGTTGCCATGATCAGGAATGTGGCGGAGCATGCAGTGGAACAAAGAAAGGGCTGAAGAAGCCGTCATACTCCAAGAGGGGGCGGGTGGAGGAGGAATCGGAGGAGCAGGGTGTGATGAGTGTGCTGACTACATGGGGCAGGGTCCCCTCTCCGAAGAGCAGCACACGCCAACATATCAGTAGGCCCTTCCTGGAAGACATCAGGCCCACCCCTCCCCCCTGAGAGTTCGAGCGAACTCCCAAACTGGGGAGGGAGGCAAAGCCTTGCAGCTGAGAAATTCTCCAGCCGTCGAAGGTTGGCGAACATGTGCCACACCTGGCCTGACAGAGGTCTGACTGACACCAGCCCGCGGCGGAGGCGGGAGCGCTGGGTCCTCAGGCGACATCGTCCAGCCCCTCCCCCGACCGAACGCTCTCGTGCACCTCGGACCGGGAAGCGCTGCAGAACAGAGCTGTTGGCTCTGAGCTGGCGCCCTCAGCCGAGGGCGTCCAACATATCCCCCTAATCGTGCCACAAGTCCAACTTCTCCGGCATGTTCACTCAAGCGACAGAACGCGAGGCGAGGATCCTGTGGAGGAGGAGAATGAGGAGATGTTGTTCAGGAGAGCTTTTTTCAGAATCCGCTGTCCTTATAACATGAGAAATCCTTATGTTGAGCTCTTGAGTTGTGGCCACTATAGATTTTGAACGGTCCGGTCACGTTCTGCCAGGTCAGAACCAGCAGCAGCAGGACGAGGAGGCGGTGGAGGGGGACGGGTGGAGGACGGGGCAGTTCCACCCACAGGGATTATCCACCCACCTCGCTGGACACGAGCTTCCTTCGCACCCTCTTCGAGCGCCCTCCCCACTGATCCAAATTGATATCGAATGAGATGTCCAAAGTCCCACCAACACCTTCCTATCACATGAAACCCCCGTCCACGAACAATTGTTGGGCCTTCACATGCCATCTCGAAACATCGTGTGTGTGGCATGTCGTCAGCCCCTTGTACGACGGCGAGCTGTTGGAGGGACCAACTCAAAGCCCCCCGCGTGGCCCAAGCATCCGCTAACTTGTTGCCAACAGTGAGCCGGCCATCTTCAGCGCTGGCCGACGACGAGCGGGCCGTGTGCGCCTTAACCATTACTACTGAGGCATGTTGGCCGCTCCTTTCCCACCAGCGAACTCAGGCGATCGCAAACATGGACCAAGGGGGCGTGGATTAGCGACGGGCCCCGTTTCCATGGGGAATCGCGGATTTCCGCCGCCGAGTGAGGTGGCACCGGCCGCAGTTTGGGGAGGGCACCTCCCCCGATCCATGGACTTGGCAACCGCGCTCCAAATCCATGGATCGCTAATCCATGTTTGCGCGCCCCCGACGAATCCAGACGTGCCCTCTAATACTCATGGGGTCGAGGGCCGCACTATAGTTGACAACACCTTCCATCGATCCAGAGCAGTCTGAGCAGACGGCTAAAGGGTCCTCGGGATTCCACTCCGAAAATTCAACCAACAATTGGTACGCTCCGTCTTCTTGCGCGTGCAGTTTAGAAGCACAACTCCGAAGTCACCAGAAGCTGAGCCGTCTATGTGGATGATGGGCCAACCCACCCTCGAAGGACCCGAGAACTTGGAGAACAAAGACGCTGACGTCACAACAATGGTGTCCGAAAACTACCATCCCGAGGGGACCCCAATCCAGATGAGCTGGTTTTCCTGCCTCGCCTTTGGACACGGAAGCGCCTCGCTGGTGATGGGAACATGCATCTGCAGAACATGTATGCCAGCTCTGGTCTTTTCGAAGAAACCCTGTCGGCGACCTCTCCC